AACATAGTATACAAAAATATACAAAATACACATTAAGATTTCTTAAACATTTCACTCAACTTCAGTTGTTGTCTGCTGTTCTGTGCTGCACAGCAGGCATCCTTTAACCACATACAATGACCATGTGATTGCATACACACTTGTTCTTCTGAGGCAGAGTCATTCTCTTCCCTACAGGTAATTTGTATCTTCAGTCTCTTTTAACAAAGACTTTTTCGTAATAATTCCCAAGCATAGATTTGTGCTAATTTTTAACTTATTTTTCACAAGCGTTGAATGCACTTTCGTAGCAATAGCAGAAAAAGTGCCGAAATTTTGGAAGTATTTATGTCTATGTTAGGGAGTAACCCTATCACCATGGCCATCCTTTACTGTGCATGTCACGAGGTTTTAGTGACTCACATTCAAAATGTTATTAATCTAGTCTTTAATAATTGCTGGAGACAGCTTTAATGGGTAATGAAGAAAAACTTTAGGTACCTGATGATGACAAAACCTTGTTGAAAAGTTGCACATTTGCTATTATGTTAAACTTATATTAAAGTTTTTCATCATTACCCATTCAAGCCGTCTCTAGCCATTATTAGTCTCAAAGTGGGTTCCTTGTAATCGAATTTTAATCTAGTTTTTGTTTATGTTATACCAATTAGTATAGCATAAAATTTTATCTATTAATTCAAATTTTAACAGTATACAAGTTTTTAATTTTATAAGGCAATATTTTAAAAAATCCTGAATTGCCCCTACTGTGACACACGTGATATATTTTCTCAAGGCATCTCCTCTTCTCTATTGTATCCACCACTCCTCCAATAAGTACGAAATTCGAAGTAATTTACATACTATAAAATCGTCATTGCTCAGACAAATCATAATTTTTATAGCCTTCAATTTTTTTTGGTTACAGATCTATTGAATAGAAAATCAGACCCCTCTTGCCACAACCACCTGTCACATTCTCTCTTTCAGGATTTGTTAATAGTTCTCTCTTACATTTAATTAAATGATGTATAACATTGTTATCTGAATGGAGAATTAGTTAAATTCACTGTTAGTACAAG